AATTTATATACTCACCTAACAGTACCTCTATGACGTTCTTTCTTCATGCTTTGTGTTGTTTGCTTCTATTTTTAAGACTTTGGGGTATAAATTAGAGCATTCTGAGAAAGTGTTTTTTTTTTTTTTGACGTTTCCTGAAATTTGTGCCAGTTAGATAGAAGTTTGTAATTTTGAGGAAACTCTTGCCAGTTTTGTGTGCAAAATGCAACAGAAAAGCTGTGAGCATGCTAGCTGAGTCTGAGACTTCTGTTTTTAAATATAATAATGATCGCTGGTCCTTGACCAACAGAAGTAGGGACCATCGAGTAGCAACCATCAAGCTGTAATTGCTGCTGACAGCATTCTTTAGACTGCCTTGGACTGCAGTTTCAGATAGACGAGCTGTGAGAGACGGGACGCGGTTCATTCACAGGTCAGACGATGAGTTTGGCTGCATTAGATGAGGAGTGAGATTCAGCTAAAATGCCTTTGGTGCAAACCAAACACATCATGCATTAATTTTGCGAACTGATTTAAACGCCTGTTTAAATCAGATGAGCAACTTCATAAAGAAATTAAAATCTACTGTCAGCTTGTTTTATTTACTATTCAGCATCGCAATTGTCCTTGGGAATACAAAGAGTTTGAATCTGTTCTGTTCTCAAATATGGTGTTTACTGTTTTACTCCGACGCCCCTGTGTGTGTCTGTGTGTGTGTGTTCTACAGAAGAAAAAAATGATTATCTTGTAATTTCATTAGTGTAATATACAGTACACTAATATATTTATTTATTGTCTCTCCACAGTCAACTTTGACCACTTTCAGATCTTGAGAGCCATTGGAAAAGGCAGTTTTGGAAAAGTAAGTTTTGCTTTATATTTACTAGATAAACACAACAAAACAAATTGAAGCCGATTGTACTGAGGCCAAAGTGAATTGTCAGTGACCTTCATTGATTGCGCTTAAAACATTGATACTGTAGATTAAGACCTAATTTGGCAGATTCAATTAACTCAAGAGTAAGTGCGCCAGTTGGCCTTAAGATGGTTAATTACTACTATATTGACTCGATAGTATGGCAAGCCAGCTGTTAACGTCTATTAATGCCCAATATTCAATATGTTTAAATTCTTCAGCCAATGTTTTATTCTGGGATTCTATCTTTGTTGACTCTCCAGTAGAGGTTTCGGAAGTAAAATACTCCATTCATTTTATCCATAAAAGGGGAAAATTACTTTTTTGAAAAACTGTATTACCCATGATGCTGTTCAAAAAATTCTACCAATCAGAGAGTTGTGGCCAGCAAATCAAGCCAAAAGAGATCTTTAGCTCCGCCCACCCCATCAAGCACAGTGAATGACGTATATGTACCTGTATATAGCAGTTGTTCAGCTGCTTCTTAAAAAGCCTAACTAATGGCGCTTTTCCACTGCATGGTACGGCACGGTACGGCTCGGGACGGCTCCGACGGGCTCACTTTTGGGGGGTTTTCCACTGGGTACAGTACCTGGTACCTGGTACGTTTTTTAGTACCACCTCGGTTGAGGTTCCAAGTGAACCGTACCGTTACCAAAACGTGACGTGTAAACTCTGATGATCCCCACTCTAAAGCGGTACTGAACTGCAGTGGAAACACAAACCAAGCCGAGCCGAGCCGTACTGAGCCGTGCCGAGCCGAGTCGTACAATGCAGTGGAAAAGCACCATTAGACCCACTAGAACTGAAGAATTACTGTCCCATCTCAAAATGATCATGCATATCAAAGATTTTAGAAAAGGCAGTTTTATCCCAGTTAATGTCTTAGACAAATTCAGTTGGGTTTTAGGGCGGGTCACAGCACAGAGTCTGCACTTTTGAGAGTTGTAAATGATCTTTGTATAATCAGTGATTCAGGTAACTCTGCAGCTCTGATTTGACTGGACTTGGGTGCATCTCTTGATACAATAGACCATGTGATTCTCATAAATATCTTATCTTGCCAATAGAGCATTCTCAGTGAAGTATGGTGACTTTGTTTCAACAACAGCTCCTATTACCTGTGGGGTTCCTCAGGGTTCTGTTATTGGCCCTGTTTTATTTTCCTTGTACGTGCTACCTCTGGGCTCATGTCTTACCATTTGTATGCCGATGGTACACAAATTTATCTCCCTTTGAAATCTGGAGAGAACTGTGCTTCTAACTTACTTTTGGCATGTCTGGAAGAGGTTAAGAATTGGATGAATCACAATTTGGTTCAGTTAAACCAAAGTAAAACAGAGATTATGATTTTTGGTCCCGACAGAGGATGCTCAGACATTGCCACTTATTTAGGTCCGTGGTCAGCCTACTGCAATGACCAAATAAGGAATCAAAGAGTTGTGTTTGAACCAGAACTGAAATTTTACAAGCACATTAATGCTGTGGTTAAGAGTTGTTTTTTTCCAGATTGCTCGATTAAAACCAGCTCTCTCCGAACTCTCTGCCTTTATTTTGTCTCAACTGGACTATTGTAATGTTTTGTATGTGAGGTCCTGTCAGACCATTATTTCATGCTTGCAATTAGTTCAGAATGTGGTGGCTAGGCTGCTTTTGAATGCTAAGAAAAATCAACATATCTCTAAAAGACATGTCATACAGCATATATAGCATACGGCTATATATATTATACAGACTTTAAATAAAAAAATGTTATCTTTGTGGACCCTGAAGGTTATGAAATGTATCCAAGACCTAATAAGTTCAAGGAATGTTTATTATTGGAAAATAACTCATGAAATAGTTCTCTGAATTTAAATCGATATTTACCATGGACTGACAGCTCAACCATACGGTAGAGTATTAAATCTTGTATAAATTTAAAAAAATGATTGAGGCTATTTATTAGATGTCTACTAATACTACTTTTTCATTAGCTCCTTTTAAAGTTAAAAATCCAATGGAAAAATGCATGGGGAAAACCCAGAACCAACTCCACTGAAAAACTGAGAGCCCATATTCTCAGCAAACTTGGATTCAGATTTTTTCAAAAAGATCGCTCATACCATTTTTTTTTTCAGGTATGCATTGTCCAGAAAAAGGACACGAAGAAAATGTACGCCATGAAGTATATGAACAAACTCAAGTGCGTGGAGCGCAATGAAGTGCGCAATGTCTTCAAAGAGCTCCAGATCATGCAGAACCTGGAGCACCCGTTCCTGGTCAATTTCTGGTGAGCTTCTCGAAGTCATTAAGTGATTCATCAAAAAATTTTCCTTTGACACTTTTCCATTGAGCTCATTTATCCAAAAACATATAAAACTGCCTTGTATTTTGAAAAAAAAGGTATTTAACAAAAAGTATTAGAAACATGCTAATCATAATGTGCTAAAACATGCTAGCAACATGTTAGAAACATGCTAATCATGTCAGCTACATGCTAGAAACATGCTAATGATGTCAGCGATATGCTAGAAACATGCTAATCATGTCAGATACATGCTAGAAACATGCTAATCATGTCAGCTACATGCTAGAAACATGCTAATCATGCTAACAACATATAACATTGTGTTAAATAATGCTATGCTAGCAATGTGATAATCATGTAACAAACATGCTAGCAATGTGTTAAAAATGCTAAAATATGCTATAAACATGCTAAAACATGCTAGCTATGTGTTGAAGTGTGATAGCAAAGTGTATCTATCTATCTATCTATCTATCTATCCTAACTTTCATACTTTAAATGGTTTCAAGCTTCAAGCTTTTACAACTAATTCAAGCTTTCAGGCTAGGCTTTCTCGAGCCAACCAAAGTTTATCTTGACACTTTTTTTTTCTAGTTTGCTACTACTGTACAATTTGAGGCAGTGTTTGAATCGTCTGTTTATTGAAGGTACATGGTAGCGGAATCAAACTAATATTTTGTCTTTGTGTTTGGAAAATTTTGCCAAAGAAAGTTTGTAGTTCAGCTTTCGGCCTGGTGGGAGATGGGGCATAAAACTGGTAACAGCTGAAGCATGAAATTTAGAGACGGATATGAGACAAAACAGTGCAGTCACTGTCAGGATGCTTTTAGCTTCACAAATGAATGGAGCTGAATACTAGAGATATGAGCACACTTCACATCTAGAAAGCTTTTCATGCTGTTCACTACTTTATTTCAGCAAATTGTTACCTCATTCGATTCACACACAACATAACTCATAACAGGACTCTGTTTTATCAGTATGATTTACCAGTATTTATACAGTAACATTTACACGTAACATTTTCATTGTCATGATTTAGTATCTATCCAATATATCAACGCTCACCATCATTAAACCTAAGTATGACATATATGAATCTAAAATATAAATGTAATTGACTGATTTGTGTGAAAGGTCAAATCAAGTAAATGTGTAAAATGCAGTGTAATAAGTTAGCCCCAAAAAATTGTGTAATCAGTTACATGAGTTAATATACTCTAAGATTAATATTTAGATTTGAATGTGTACTACACGTATGCACTAAACCTGAAATATTGAGTATAAGCTAATTAGGTTATTAATTTCATTTTTTTATGAACTTCAAAGGATGGATCAAAATGTATTCATGCATGAATAAATCACAGTTAGTTTTCTAAATATTTCAAGTTAGATGCAATTAACATTTGTGTAGTACAAAAGGAAAACCAATTAACTTAATTTTTAAGTTTATTAACTTTATATTATCAAATGTAAAACTAGTAAAATAAAACCTACCCAGGCTCATTGGAAATACATGCCTCTACATACATTCCTGCAAAACTAAAAAAAAACGAATCGCTGCAGTTTCCAGTTGAAATCAACACTTGAGGCAGTAAAACTCTTGACAACTTGTATTCCTTTTCATACAAATTATGATTTACAGGGCTAGAGTTTTGATTAAGAAAGCCTATATCAATAAAAATCTGAATTACAGAATGAATGGACACCTTAAAGGGGGTACAGTGCACTTAAAGGGACAGTTCACCCAAAAAGGAAAATTCTGTCATCATTTACTCACCCTCATGTTGTTCCAAACCTGTATGAGTTTCTTTTTTGCACTGAACTCAAAGGAAGATATTTTGAAGAATGCTGGTAACCAAACAGTTGATGGTAGCCATTGACTTCTATAGTATTTTTTCCATGCCATGGAAATCAATGGCTACTGGCAACATTCTTCAGAGTATCTTCTATTGCGTTCAACAGAGGAATGAAACAGTCACACTTTAGTTTGGGGACCAATGTTAACTAACTATTAACCATGACTTTTGCCTCAGTTTGCTGCTTATTAAGTTAGTAAGGTAGTTGTTACGTTTAGGTACGGGGTGGATTAAATGATCTAAAATATGGTCATGCAGAATAAGGTGTTAATAAGTGCTTTATAAGTACTAATAAATAGCCACTATTTTTATAATATGCATGCTAATAAGCAACTAGTTAATAGTGAGAATTGGTCCCCAAACTAAAGTATTACCAAAGAAACTCACACAGCAACTTGAAGATGACTAAATAATGACATAATTGTCATTTTGTGGCTGAACTTTAACTTTAATTGTCACAATCCAAAAAAAAACCAAAAAAAACTTTTCATCTTCTTTATGTGAAGTAAGAATTCTTATTGTATTTTGCTGTCAAATGAAACCAAAATCCATCCATCAATTCTCCAAACTGTTGTCTTCTCTCTGTTTCCCAAAACCATAGTAACTTCATTGCACATCTGTTGTTTGAAGCATGTTTTTTCAACAATACATTTAAAGCCATTAAAAAACAAAAAATGGCACTTTAAAATTCATTTGACAAACTAAAAGATGTAGAATGGAATCTGGAATAAACTGCATGTTAGCTTGCTTATTAATATAATTTATTAATAATATTAATTAAAGTTCACATGTTTTTCTTACAAAAAACTATGCTATTAACCACAGGTCGAGAGCTGCGGTTCCAATCACGCACCTATGCAATGCTCTTTGCGAATGTTTGTTGCAAATACGGTTTTGGGAAACCATTTGCAACCATAGTTTTTATCATTAACCACTGCAGTAAAAGAATTGGCAATAGACAACCGTTTCAATTAATTATCTGTGCAGCATTCAGATATCACACTAGTCTTTGCATTACAACTTAAATAGAAAGCCTTATTACTTTTAATGAGATGTAGACAGGCTCTAGCTGAGACTACAAGCGTCTTTATATTTAAAGAGAAGAGCTCTCACACTACCTTCTGTCTCACGTGGAGTGTGTTTTCCTGAAACTCTTCTGCTTGTGGCGAAAGTTGAATTCTCTTCTCCTGATTTCCGAGTGTCTAAAACAAGAGAATAGCATTTAGCCTGCAGTTTTCTCATTTGTAAGCCTGATTAGCACACGTGTAGACGTATTCTGATTGCATTATGCCATTCACAGTTTTAAACTGGTTCTAAGAGGCCCTAAATGCGCTCAAGGTGCATCACTCTTTTGCCAGCAGTGTGCTTGTGCAGGAAGTATAGCTTGACGAAGTGGGCTCACACCTTACGCTTTCTCAGCACCGCGCTGTAATTTGGTCCCTCTTTGACATCGGACAAATAAAGCCTGTCAATCAAAGCGCAGTTTAAAATCGATGTGACACGAGTCACGGTGGCATCCTAAGCAGGTTTTCATGCCATGCCTTTTCCTTGTCATCAGTAATTTATTAGATGTGTGCTTCTGCTGTAGTGCAGGATCTCAGTGATGCCCTCAAATACGAATCAAACGCCTCAAAAGGTCATTGGAGGATGAAAAATGCATGCCAAAGTTAAAACCTTTTGTTTGTATTTGCCAAGCATAAATTGAAATTGTTTTGCCATTTCGTACCAAAGGCAGGATTATCATTGTGATAACACTTTAGAATAGGGAACATTTATTCACTATTAACTATGACTTTTCACTCAATAAATTCCTAATTTGCTGCTTATTAATAGTTAGTAAGGTAGTTGTTAAGTTTAGGTATTGGGTAGAATTAGGGATGTAGAATAAGGCATTAATATGTGCTTAATTACTACTAATAAAAGGCTAATATTCTAGTAATATGCATGCTAATAAGCAACTAAGAGACCCTACAAGTGTTACTATTATTGTTAATTGAACCTAACACCATAAACCAAAAACATTTCAGATATGAACTAAAATAAAATTCAATAATAAAAAACTTATTTCAACATTTTCAATATTTATTTTCAATATTTGCAGTATTATAACTAACACTAAATCAACTAAAAGTATAAAACTACAGCATGTGCATGATGAGTCGATTTTCTGATATTTTTTCCAAGCATGTTTTATCAATTCTAAACCACATCAATCTTAATAACTACTATTAATTTTGCACAAAATCATTTATAAGTGATATATAATTGTTAATGAGAGCGGGAAGTAGAAAATGCCTTATAATCAGATTAAGCAGGTTTTTTTTACAGGTGAAATAGGCCAAAAAAAAGAGATTTTACTCACACGGAAAAGTCAGAAATGAATAAATCTCCATGAGAAGCATGCAATACTATAGAAATAGCAAAATTAAGATGTGACCATTGAACAAGAAATGCTCTTTTTAAAAACAAATATTTTTTTCAATGGTCACGGCTTAATTTTGCTATTATGCACATCTGAATATAAGGCATTTTTCACTTTCAGTCCTCCTTAACAATTATATATCACTTATAAATAATTATATACTAATAGTACTTATTAAGACTGGTGTGGTTTGGAATTGGTGAAATGTGCTTGGGGAAAAATATGATCAGAATATCTTCTTGCCTAATAATTATGCATACACTGTATATAGACATCAAAATTACAAAATAAGTAAATAAATAAATACTACAACTTCAACTTAAAAAAAGAAAGAAAAGAAAACAGAAGTAACTAAATGAGCAACAGTACATCTTTGACAGATTTGCCATCTATCCAAAGAAACCCAATGCACTTTGAGCTCAATATAATGGCCATTTATAGCTTACGGTTATAAAATATCATTTATAAAACGGAGAGTTCCGGTGCTTGATTCTGATTGGCTGAGCCGCGTTTGAAGCTGTTGTAAATTACTCTACAAAGTAACACACCTTTGTTTCCGTTTGTGTGTTGCTCGGCAACCACTTTGTTGCAACCACAACTGTTTCTGAGGAGCTACATTGTTTGGTGGAAGAATACTGTTTTTATTAATATCATTACACTTTATTTGCTCTGTTTTATAATGTGAAACCTTACTACGTATATGGAATAACCGAATAACAACGCCCCTTAGCTGTTATAAATTCACTGTAAACCACGGCTTCTTGGGGCTTATTGCTTTATTTTATATTTTTATTTATATAGTACTTCATTAAAAAGTGTTTTCCTGCCAAGTAGAGAGTTATCCATTCCAAAAGTTGTTTATTTTATTAAGAGAGCAATAGACAGCATGTTAAGCAGTCTAGTTTCCGCCAATGTGTTTTCTTCTTTTATCTATTGCTTTTCTGCAACTAAGAGCTTTTTATACACATCCTTCTGGCTCATTTTAGTAATAAGCTGGGCTCTGTTTTAGGCCGGTAACTCCTCCTGCTCTGTTTGTGTGATGCATATGACAAATGTATGGTTTCTTAAATTGTGTGGATTGTTGACTTTTCTAAAAATCGAACAATAAGAGAAACTGTTCATTTTTGCTTGCCAAATTACAAAAAAGGGCAAAACTATCCCACAGGCCAAAGCCATATATATATATATATATCTATATATATATATATATGTGGGACCTTTTTCTGGTTTAGTGGCTGTATATAAGTGTATGCAGTAATGCTGAGTGGTATCAATTATTCATGATGTATTTGCCATGTGTTTACTGTATATGTAAAATTAAGCAACAAAGTGAATACTGTGATTATTTTAAAGCTCTTTTTTACACAGAATAAGGTTACAATTGTTCCTTGTTCTGTGACTGGCAAGCACAAGAATGTAAAGACATATATATATATATATATATATATATATATATATATATATATATATATAGACCCGAGTATAAAAGTAGTTTCCTATAGATTTATTTTGATGGTAACCAGCAATGTTTTAATGTCAGCTGTCTAAAATAACGTCATATTAATATTTTAATATTTTACAATGTAGAGTCTTCTTATAAATTCTGAGATGCAGTGTATTTCACTGTGACGTATATGGTTTAGCAGGTTCACTTAGATGACTCACGCGGGTCTCTTGAAACATTAAGCAGTGATATGAGAACATCTGCAGATTGTTGCTATGTTGCTCATAAAGCCTCAGGCTGTTCTATTTGTGTCCACACAGCAGACGTGTTGAGTTCAGTCTCTGACAGATGGACATTTCCAGGGATCAAAGTAAAGCAGGACGCTTAAAAAGGCTTTTCTGTTCTCCTACATTAATTCCTGCATTGACAATGTCCACTTCCGCAGCTGAGAGGTCTGCTGTCCTTCATGAATATTAACTACACCCTCGTGAAAAAGAAGTATACTTCAGCATACTGTACTTTTAATAAAAGTACTTAATAGACTTAAGTGCAGATTGAATGTAATGTTTTTGGAAGCTTAATTACATGTTTACAAACAACTACAGTTAAAATTATAATCACGTACTGAAGTACATGTGCTTTAGTATGTTAGTGAACATCAAAATAAGTGTATTTCTTTAAAGCATGCCAAATGTTTATTAAAACTTCATTTAAAATATACTTTAAGTAGAACTTTTAAGTTGCCATTATTAAAAGTGCACTTCTAAACTTGTACTAAAGTATCTTAAGAAACATGAAAGATTTGTGTACTTGCAGTTTTTTTTCAGTATTTTGTAACAATATACACTACCGTTCAAAAGCTTAGGGTCAGTAATATTTGTCTTTCTTCTTTTGAAAAAAATAGTATTTTATTCAGCAAGGATGTGTTGAATTGATAAAAAGTGATAGACTTATTGTTAGAAAAGATTTCTACTTTGCGCATCACAGGAATAAATTATATTTTAAAGTATATTAAAATAGAAAACAGCTATTTTAAATTGTAATATTTCATAATATTGCTGTTTTTTTCTGTATTTTTGATCAAATAAATGAAGCCTTGATGAGCAGAAGAGACTTTAAAAAGACATTACAAATCTTACTCCCAAACTTCTGAACAGCTGTCTGTCTGTCTGTCTGTCTGTCTGTCTGTCTGTGTGTGTGTGTGCGTGCGTGTGTGTGTTTGTTTCTTTGCGTGTTTGTTTGCCTGGGTTCCAGCACGATGACGAGACAAACCTGTTTTTAGTTTATGTAACGCTGTGAGAGAGTCATTTTTCAAATATGAATGGAAGGGCACATCAGCAGGCAGCAAGTATGTAAAATCAATGCTGCTTTGCTGAATGGTTTTTCAAATGAGAGTAAAATGAGTGTTTGCTGATGTAGAGCTCCTGAGAGTGTCAGACATTGATTGACCGATGGGTTACTGAGGGCACAAGCAGAACAAGCTCAGACCTGCCAGTGGGAGATCTTTCTCTGAAACAAACAAACTGGAAAACAACTTCAGTGCTTTTCTATGACTGAGGTTCTGTACTTTTGCTTGCTTTGGCTTTATGACCCCACAAAATAGCTCAACAAGCACAGTTTTCTTTCCTTTGTTGACATTTTATATTGAAGCTGCAAATTTGGGTGAGACATTTTCCCTTTTTAAAAGGAATATTTGATTAAAAATGAAAACTTACGCCCCCTCAGTCCATCCAAGATGTATTTTGTTTCTTCATCATATTTGGAGAAATGTGTCATTCCATCACTTGCTCACCAATACAGGTGCATCTCAATAAATTAGAATGTCGTGGAAAGGTTCATTTATTTCAGTAATTCAACTCAAATTGTGAAACTCGTGTATTAAATAAATTCAATGCACACAGACTGAAGTGTTTAAGTCTTTGGTTCTTTTAATTGTGATGATTTTGGCTCACATTTAACAAAAACCCACCAATTCACTATCTCAACAAATTAGAATATGGTGACATGCCAATCAGCTAATCAACTCAAAACACCTGCAAAGGTTTCCTGAGCCTTCAAAATGGTCTCTCAGTTTGGTTCACTAGGCTACACAATCATGGGGAAGACTGCTGATCTGACAGTTGTCCAGAAGACAATCATTGACACCCTTCACAAGGAGGGTAAGCCACAAACATTCATTGCCA